ATGGGGTGCACTGCACAATCCCTGCTGAGCTGGCCTCTGTCCTGAGGGTGCCAGCGACTGCCTTTGAAGTGCTCTCTGCTCTGGAGCCTGTGCTGGGAGGGGAAGGGCACCTGTCCTCCCCCAGACAGATGGGAAAGAGGAGTGCTTCGCTCAGTTTTCTTACCGTTCTGTCCCCCAGCTGGTGGCACCTGGCTTCCCAGAGCCTCACAGGTGAAGTCACCAGGGGAAACTGAAGCAGAAAGCACTGAGGTGGTGAGCATCAGGGCACAGCCTGGGTCTCTGGGCTCCAGCCTTCCCCCAGCGCAGCAGGTGCCTCTGTTCAGGCTGTGGTGCAGTTGGGCATTCACGTTTTGTTGTCAGAGTTGGAAGTTGTGTTGACTGACAGGTTAATAAATTGCGGTTAATTAATGGTGTTGCAAGTGGAACTTAACTGTGTGTTGGTCTTCTTATGGTCTGCCCCAGTGTGTGTCCCAAGTGAAGGGGAGCTTGCACAGCAATGTCCTGTAACCTGGCTTGGGTCACCTGTCCCCAGTGGTATGGGCACCACCTCCACCAACAAGCAAGCCATGCTTGGAGCCTGTGGCTGCTTTTGTGCCTCCTCCAATGCCTTTGGCCCCAGAAAAATATAATCAAGGAAACAGCTGACTAAAGGGGAATGATCACTTCCCTCCACCTGCTGCTTACACTCATGTGAATAAGCCCAGTGTGCAGTTGGCTGCACTGTCTTGGACTCATTGCCCACCAGGACCCCCAGTCCATATTTGCAAAGCTTTCCCTAGGCAGCTGGCCAGCCAGTTGGCTGGCCTACACCACTGCATGGGGTTATTCCATCCTAGGGGCAAAATACTGTATTTGCCTGTGTCTCACTTCATAGAAGAACCATAGAATCATAGACCTTACTGTCCAACCCATTTCTCCAGCCTCTGAGAAGCGGCTCTGCTCTGTACCATATCCTCCGCCTGCCCAGACTGGTAGGGTCTGCAGGTTTGCTGAGCATGTGCTCCATCCTCTTGCCCAGGTTGTCAGCTAAAAAAGCTTATTTAAGCACTCAGCTTGGGCTGTTTTGACAGCCCTGTTTGCCTTTTCCAAATTCTAGACTCCTCTTACACCTGTCTGTGATACTACTCTGCATTTAAAGCACCTCCATATTCTCCATTAAAAGCAGGAAGAGGGTTTTGTTGTAGTTTTTATTTTGTTTTTAAATCATTGTAGGGGAACTTGACAAAATCAGTGTCTTTTCAACATGTTATTTTAAGTTTGGTTTTTTTCTTTTATTGTATAGTTCCTTGATACCTAATGCTCCAAGCAACATGGTGTCCCTACGAGTGCTGCAAAAAAGGAAGCTGTTTTATCACTAAAATCCCGTTTTCATTATAAACATTTTGGTTGGTAAGGGGCCAACAATTTGTGACATTAGATACCAGCTAGCTGCATTTATGCCCTGTACAGATTCTTTTGTTTCCATCTTTGCACAAGGTCAGGAGCAGGGAGTAGAGGTTACTAAGCTCTCTTCTAGCTGAAACTGAATTGATTCAAATGTCATGCGGTCGAGTGTCTTGAGAGGATGTGGCTCTTTGGATTTCCACCTAGGTTTTGGCTTGAGAACACATTTCCCTTTAACCAAAACTAAGGTTGCCTTGCAAATTTTATAACCATAAACTGCTGAATGTAATTTATTTTCTGTCCTCCCTTGGGATTTCAGGAACTCTTCACTTTCCTTCAGTTTCAGAGCAGGAAAATGTTCCCTCTGCTGTGCAGTGGGAGGGTGTTATGACCCAGACTGGGTGACTCAGGGGGTTGTAGCAGTTTCATGATTCTCTTGGGCTAAATTAAGGTGAAACGACACCAGGCGATCAATTAAACGCTTTATTTATGGCACAAGCAACTTAAACTTGGAAAGCGTAATAATAGATGGTGTGGATTCTATTGAGGCATTTATGAGAAGAAAAGGGAGAGGAGAGGGAGAGGGAGAGGGAGAGGGAGAGGGAGAGGGAGAGGGAGGGAGAGAGAGAGAGATTGCCATGCAGACCGAAACCTGCTTTGCCATAATGTTTGAGACATACATTAACTCTTTCAGTCTCTCACAGAGGGTCATGGTATCATGCATTATATCAAATAAAGCAGAGATACTGGGAGGCAAATAGGTCCTCTCTAAAGGTAAAACAAACCTGCTAGCTTGGGGTTTCAGGCTGAACTTTGTTTTTGTCTTGTTTCTGAATGAGAGGCAGAAAGGTGGATCATAGAATATCTCAAGTTGGAAGGGACCCATAAGGATCATCAAGTCCAACTCCCTGCTCCTCGCAGGACTACATAAAACTAAACCATATCACTAAGCACGTTGTCCAGACACTCCCTGAACTCGGACAGCTCTTTCAGTACTCTGGGATGAACCCATCAGGCCCCATAGACTTATGTGCATCCAGCTGGAGCAGCAAGTCTCGAACAAGTTTGGAGTGGGCTGGGAGTTTATCATCCCCCCAGTCATGGTCTTCCAACACAGGGCTCCAGGAGTCCCAGGGCCCATCATCGGTGTTAAAGAGAGGCAAAGAAGGCATTAAACGTCTCTGCTTTGTCTGTGTCCGTATTTGTGAGGTGACCAACCTCATCAAGCAATGGACCAATGTTACAAGGTTACAGTGTTAGGGATGAGGACAGTCATTTGGGATCCAGGAGACATGATGTCAAACCCTGCTCCCCAGCAGTTCTATCTGGCCAGGCTGATCTGCTTTTCTTGGACACATCTCAAAAGACATAGAAGTGCCTAATTCTCATGGAGTTCACAAGTCATCTGGATCCTCAAATACCTGTGGGGCTTTGGACCTAGTTTCTGCTCTACACTTGAAGTAGGATTTAATAGCACTTTCTTATCCCCTGATTTTATCAAGACAGACAAGGGAGACAAAGACCAAAAAAGTCACCATGACAATCCAGATGTTTGATACTTAAGTTTGATACTTTTCTCATACTGGTACTTAAATGGTACTTTTTTCATGCTGTCATCACTTTTTTTGCACGTGGAGTTAGTTTGCAGTTTTCTCTGTTCATATGGCTGCTCTAGTTGTCCTTGAACCAAATGCTAAAATAGTCCTCATCAGTTTAAAAAAGACACCGGTTTTATATCAGGAGTTAGGAAGCTGGACTTGTTGCTTCTTCAGGTCAGTGGCAGTCAGCTTTTCCAACAATGTGACCAGACCCACACAGAATGCCACAAACAGAACCAACATATCTTGCTCTAAAACTAATTTGGTTTCTATGTTGAGTACAAGACTGTAATTATGATTCCTAAATAGAGTGTGAAAGCTGTTTCCTATGCATGAGATAAGGGCATTTTAATGGATTTTAGGTCTTGATGGTGTCGGTTAATGTTTTAAAGCTGTCCTAGATATTCCTGTGGTTTGAAGCCTATTGGCTGTCAATTTAGTTTTTTCATGTGTCTGACAAGCAGGTCCCTGGTTGAGCTAGGACAGTGACATGACTTTGTTGAAATGACAATCTTGGGGCAGCTGGTATCTTAAATACCAACGGCGAGGTACTCTAAGGTGTCACGAGTCAAAGGCCAGGCTATGCACAAGCTGGGAAACTTGGGTTCTCCAGTCTCCCATTCAAATTCAGCATGCCAAAACTGGAACATATTAAAGTCGATGAGGTTTTCTGAATATTAACTACCCTTCCTCCTTCCCTCCTATCCCAAGAAACCAGAAACCCCCACCTTAGGATTACTGTGTGATGATCATTTCTTAATCTAATTTCTACATCGGAATAGCCAAGGTAAACAATAGCGCTCAAGAAAGAGCTGATGGCCCCTGGCCCCAGCAGTTCAGCCTTTCTACCTCCAGGGACCACTGCTTTTCAGGGGGAAAAAAGCCTTAGGAATATCTTGTGCAAGGTTGCCATCTTGCCTTTCATTTACAAAAAAAATTGAGCTACGTTTGAATGTTCACTGATATCCTCCTTTTTTGCTTATCAGTTATTCCCAGCCATAGCTGGTGTAATATGTTTCTTTTTGCACTTCTTTCACCTATTATCACAGACTGAGAAAATTTGCGTAAGATGAACATCCTGGGAGAACTGGGTAAAAGAAAAGTGGAGAAAAGTGGAGCTTAAATTTTAAGCCCCCCCCCCCCATTATTTTCTTGCGTGTAAATTTTGGGACAGTCACCTAGTCCCCTGCTAAGAGACAAAGAAAGAAGAGAGTTCAAGTCACATTGCCTCCCAGCCTCTATCCTTGTAGAGGTGGGCGAGAGGGAAACGCTCCTTTCCCTAGCCTGGGTTAGTACAGAGGAATGGAGTGGGGCTGGGGCTCTTCGGGTGCTCAGGTGGGGTTGAGTGGTGCCCAGAGAGGGCTGGAAGTCCCCTAAGAGCTGCCTTGTGTGCATGGCAGTGTGTGTCATCCCAGCCCCCATCACCATGCTGTCCAGGCATGCAGGGGAGCTAGCCTGTAAGAGCTGGCACAGCACCATGGCACGAGGGGGTGGGGGGCCCTGCAGCTGAATGTCATGTCCTACTGCTAGAAAATTAAGGACTCGAGTAAAAATTAGTGCCCAAGCTGTAAAAGTAATCACAGGCTGTGGATGCACTTTGTTCTGTTTCAACCGTTGTGATTTTTTGGCCCCATCTTTTTAGAAAAGCAAAGGCAAACAACATGAGACAGCATCACTACCCTGGGATGAGAACAGTGGATTTTAGCAGAGAAGAGGTAGAAGCAACATCTCCGGTGTCCTGTTTAAATTTTTCACAGACTTTGGTATCATTTGGATGTCACAGTGGATCTACCTTAAACTCTTGGTTGGAAACTGTGGTCAAAGAAGGAAAATGTTTCTCAGGTCAAGACAGGAAAACTCTCAGCTCCCGTGCTGGGCTATGCCACTTCCATCAGGAAACACCAGCAATATCTGGCTTCTTCCCAGAGGCTGCATGAGCACAGTCGGGATTTATT